ATTATGTCCGATCCCATCCTCCGTGTTCTTGTTTGAGTCTTGTCAGTAGTATATGGTAAGTGTGGAGGAAGATGTTCAAGAGTGCCTTTCTCTCCCGAAAAGCTGACACTCCATGTAGTTTTTATCAGAGGAAGTTTGTGTCCTCCAAGGCTCTGCTCACGAACTGCCACCTCCTTCCTGATGTCTCCGTAGAATTTCTCTGTCCTCCACATGCTGGTCGAATGGTCCTTCTCTCCCGCGCTGCCCATCTCCTTTCGTTGTCTTTTTTCGACCTTGGCGTTGAGTGTTGCGCAATCTTCCGACAGTGCTCCCTCCCTTCTCCTCCTCCTCCTCCTTCTCCTCCTCCTCCTCCTCCCCCTCCTCCTCCTCCTCCCCCTCCTCCTCTGTGGTTGACTTTTGTGATAAGTTTAGGATGTCGTGATTGGCGCGTAGCATCAACAAAAAGTCTCCATTTGACTTCTTTTCGGGTGCCAATTAAGCGTAGAGCCACACCCCGCTCCATAGTAGCCGCGGAGTGGCACATATTTTGTTCATTAGCTAGCATGCAGAAGGTTTGTCCTGCAAAGGTTGAACACACACCGGACGACTGTTCCATTTATTTGTGCAGTATTGCCGGCTTGATGTCACTGCTTGCTTATCTTCGAGTTCCCGAACTGGGGTCCACAGTGCGGGGCCAGCAAGAGTAGCCATAGTTGCCGCAAGAGATTCTGATTACTTTTGGAAGGACATTGATCCAATTCGCCGGTCACAGATACGACTGGCTGCGGCAAGTCAAAACACCCCTCTTCCGTGCCAATGGATAGCGTAATTTTTTCAGTGTTTTCTGACAATTTACCCTTTTCCATCACCAGCACCATCGCTTCTTTGCCCGTTTGTCCATTAGACCCACCTATGTCGCAGTGTACTGCTGGCCAGTTTGTCCGAGCACTCATCTCCTTTGTGGGCTCCCAACCGGATGAGTTGAACTTCTCCGATGGCGATGTGCTGCACGTTCTCGGTCGGCCGGCCGCCGATGTTGATGACGGTTGGCTTGAGGGTGAACTGGTACCCCCGGCCGAGGTTCCAGTTGATAAAATCCGTCGTGGAGTCTTCCCCTCCATGCTCGTGCAGCCTGTTCCCGCCGACGAGGCCGTCAAGTGGGCAGGCCTCCTGGAGACCGCTAGGGTGCGCCTCGGT